TAGGCTTCATAGACATTTCACAAAGATTTATATTTCAGATAAATGCTGTACTTTTGAACTTCCTATTAATCAAAGAATCATGAAAAAAAGTGTTATTTCCACAAAATATGAAGCAGCACAACTGTTTTCAGTATTGATAATAATAAGAAATATTAACAACAATAAAAGCAGCAAATCAGCATATCAGACTGATTTCTGAAGGATCATGTGACACTGAAGACTGGAGTAATGATGCTGAAAATTCAGCTTTGATCACAGGAATAAAATACAATTTACAATATATTCAATTAGAAAACAATTATTTTGAATTATAATAATATTTCACAATGTTACAGTTTTACTATATTTTCCAATTTTTATTTTTGACTCTAGTTTCACATATATTTTTAATCTATTTCTGAAGGGGTTTTTTTTTTCATTCTAATAATGAATTTCCCTGTGTCTCTGTCCATCCAGAAGACTTGGTGTCGTCTCCCACGGGCCCCGCCCCCATGGACCTCCGTGTAGGTGAGCGTCTGATGCGTCCGGGTTCGAACCCGGCCTTCCTGTCCCCTCTGCACCCCCCTCTGCTGATCGGCCCCTTCAATCCACAGCACTGTTCCCAGTACAGCCAGCAGCAGCTGCAGCACATACAGGTAAATGTCACACACATGATCTCCCTGCAATCAGAGACAAAGACCCCTGTCATACCACCGCAACACATGCAGTACAGTGCACAAAATCATCAGTCTGTGCAAGAAACTGAACATTATTTACAACATTAATACCTGTAATCCATAGCATCGGGCAAGCAGGGAAGTCTGATTATTTTCTGCTAACTGCTTCTTTCGGACAGTTCTTTTCAATTTTAGCCCAATAGGACACATTTTATGGTTAGGGTTAGTTTATTTGACTGATGATTATCCAATTGGTTTTACACCTTTATACAGCCATTTCAGAGCCTAGTTAGGGTACAACGGGGCTAAAGATGCCCCAGGGTAAAAGACCACCTTTGATATATTCCTCCAAACCACTAGATGGCACAAAACCGTGGCGTGGCATTTTCCAAAACATTCGCTTTTCAAGATGCACCTGTATATTTGTCTGATCCTTGACGCGATCGCATATATGCATATATTTTGAGACAAAGGTCTTCTTAATGATTTTCAGTTTTGTTTAAAGCAACAGTTTTTAAATAACGAAAGAATATGTAAAAGTATAGTATTTGGGGTAAAAAGTAATAGATGGATGACTTTTCCATTTGTTGACATGACATGGTTAGATTCAGATGGTAAATATCATTTATTATGTTGGGTGTCCACATTAGAGATAATCACCATGTTTAGAATGAAACCATCATATTTAAAAACATGATATTAATCATATCATATAATAAAATATCATTTGTTGTTACTGCTGTAAATCTATATTCAATTAGTATGGGATCTCCTTCCAGAATCTTTACTTTTTAAAATGATTTTGTTTCTGTACTTTAAAATATATTTTTATATTAACATATTTTAATGACAGCATATTGAACAAAAATTGATTCTTTTATTTATCAAAATGAGCAGAAAATAGTACAAACTTTGCTAAAGGGATTGTTTTGAACGAGTATTATCGTATAATAAAAACATTATTTTAGCTAAAGTATTTATATCAAAGCCTTGCTACCTCATACATTTATAAGATTTTAAAACAAAATAAATGACTTGTATGATTTATTTCCACACAAAATCTGTTGCTCCATAAATGTTCAATACAAATGTATATATGTTTTCTGCAATTATACATTTTAGGCACAGTAAAAAGCACATTATATCTTAAGGTGTGCCTTTAGCCCCGTCGTACCCTAACACCTAGCATTAGATTAGCATTAGCTCATTTTTACCTGGACAGTGAGTTTAAAAGCAGCTTATCTGTAATTGTTGCTAAACTGATGAACAAAATTCATGAATAGAATAAATTCATGAACAAATAGATTTATTAACCACATTTTTTTCATGAATGAGACCCAATATATATGTGTATTTACTGGGCACTTAATGAGCTTGATAGACTAATCTGCATTGTTATGAATAATTATGACTGACAACTCCTCTTTTTGTAGTCATATAACATGGAGCAGCATCTACGAGACCAGGAACTAGCGAAACAACAGCTACAGCAACTTAAAAACAAGGACAAGAGTCAACAGAGTGAGTGACACACACACAATAACCCTTAAATAACTGCTGTTCGCAGACTTACTATGTAGCTACTTACTTAACAAATACAGAGTGAATGTCTAAAAGAATGACTAGTGGTCACCAAACATAGTACAGTATGCTAGTTTAGGGTTGGGGTTACTTTGATTAACAAGACAGATATGAGGTACGCATAGGGACCAAAATATGATTCTGGAGACGTTTTTCAACTTAATAAGCAGCCATCAGAAAAAGTTCAATTGTGACTCTTATCAGTCAGTTTTCAGCATCGAACAGAACGTTTTGCAGAAGAACGAGTTTTCAAGTAGTCCTCGAGAGAGTTTCCAAATACTTGAGCTGTCCGCTTCATATCAGTTCAGCGCTGTCTGTCAGGATCACTTTGTACTCGATGGTCAAAAGAGGAAGTGTTTAACATGATGCTGCACAGAGCCATGTCATTTACTGATAAAGACGAGCAAGTACACATCTGTGGAATTACAGTTCTGTCATAACAACTCTCGAAGGGATTGGCATGGTAATGTACATGACAATGTTAATGTGTTTGGTCTTGGCGGAATAGATCTGCTACGCTGCTGCGACTTGCTACTGCCAATACATCCACAACATGCTGCTGCTGCACATATAACATACATGAAATAACCCCCAGATAGCATACATGAATCACCTCGTAGCAGATCTATACAGGTGGAGCTGGGGAAGGTGGAGGGTTTCTGAAGCAAGCTGCAACTGCAAGCACTAGTCATATATCTGAATGTTGAGCAGCGAGCTCATTGGCTACCGATACAGGAGAGAACCAATCAGCTGTGCCATGTGATGTGTGTCATTAGGTCAGATTGAGTTCGGCCTATCGGACTGCGCCATCTAGAGTTTCATGCCAGAACTCTGTATTTCTCAACACGTCCGGTGCCAGAACTAGTGTTTTTACAATGACAAAAACAATTAGCAGGAAGTACCGAAGACATTTCAGAAGCACCTTTCTACTTCTGAAACAGCAACAAAAGCACAGAACTGTGACTGTGTGATCAAACAGAGGAAGTAGATGCTACGTTTGCATATACTGTAAGTAGTTACAGGTCAATAGACGTGCAAAACCACATCTACTGTAAATCAACTAATTGTTGGGTTATGTCAATGAGCAGTCGAATACTTGGTCTTAAAGGGATAGTTCACACAAAAATGACAATTCTGACATAATTTACTCACCCTCGTCTTCTAAGCACAAAGATGTTTTAATGAAACCTGAGAGATTTCTGTCAGTTGAAATAAAAAAAAAGACAATTGAAAGTCCATTTCACCTAAACTTTTGACGCTTTAAAAAGTTTATAAAACATTGTTAAAATAATCCAAATGAAGCAAACACGCGTAATACAACTTTTCTGAAGAAACACGACAGCTTTACATGATGAATAGATTTAATTTAGCCGTTATTCACATATAAGCATTGCTAAACACACATTCATTGAGCTCATCAATTGTGTTAAATGCAAGCTCAAACATACTTGTTGCGTATCAAGCAGAAACATCGAAAGTCCTGAAACGTTTCTTTATACTGAGCTAAAAAATAAATGTAGAGATACAACAGTTACTGTTAGACGTTAGCAAACATGCTAAACATAGCATGCTATCAAATGCCCACTCTTAGAAGCTGCACTTTAAAGCATCTCCCCTAAAGTCTGAGAAAAAAAAGTAACCCATCCTAATTGTCTTCTGGCTTTTGTGTGTGTGTGTGTGTGTGTGACTATGTTATTTGTGTAGACTCTGGAACAATCCAGTTTAAATCTCAGGTGTTGACATGCGGTTATTACAGCCCGTAGGTTGTCTATGAAACACATGCTGGTTGTTTGTTGTGGTCATGTCGATTTTATTGATGGTACTGCATATTTTCATTTATACACATGGTTGTTATTTGTCATCGTGAATTGTTACTTTTTAAAGAGCGCATTGATGACACGTCAACACAGGCGTGTGGCACAAATGAACTGCAACTGAACCTGCAAAAGTGCAGCAGACGATCTTGTTGACAGTTAACTAAACGACCCAAACTGACTGAAAACTTCCTTTTGGTTACGCTGTTGTTGTTTTGTTGTTGTTGCAGCCTCAGAGCCCAACCTGAAGGTGAAGCATAAGTTAAAGAAGCACCTGAACACCCGTAAGAGCCCGCTGACCCGCAAAGAGAGCGCGCCACCTGCCGTCAAACACCGCGTCCCTGATACGCTGGGTAACTACAACACGCTGCCTCTGCTTTTTGTTGTTATGATTGAACTCTTTTGATGTAGTCATATTGTATGTACAGATACTTATATAGTTGTGCTGTCAAACGATTAATTGCGATTAATCGCATCCAAAATAAAAGTTTTTGTTTACATAATATACTGTATGTGTGTAAACTGTGTACATTAATTATGTATATATAAATACACACACATGCATGTATATATTTAAGAAAAATATGTTATGTTTATATATTAATTATATTTATATATAATGTGTGTGTGTGTGTGTGTGACTATGTTATTTGTGTAGACTCTGGAACAATCCAGTTTAAATCTCAGGTGTTGACATGCGGTTATTACAGCCCGTAGGTTGTCTATGAAACACATGCTGGTTGTTTGTTGTGGTCATGTCGATTTTATTGATGGTACTGCATATTTTCATTTATACACATGGTTGTTATTTGTCATCGTGAATTGTTACTTTTTAAAGAGCGCATTGATGACACGTCAACACAGGCGTGTGGCACAAATGAACTGCAACTGAACCTGCAAAAGTGCAGCAGACGATCTTGTTGACAGTTAACTAAACGACCCAAACTGACTGAAAACTTCCTTTTGGTTACGCTGTTGTTGTTTTGTTGTTGTTGCAGCCTCAGAGCCCAACCTGAAGGTGAAGCATAAGTTAAAGAAGCACCTGAACACCCGTAAGAGCCCGCTGACCCGCAAAGAGAGCGCGCCACCTGCCGTCAAACACCGCGTCCCTGATACGCTGGGTAACTACAACACGCTGCCTCTGCTTTTTGTTGTTATGATTGAACTCTTTTGATGTAGTCATATTGTATGTACAGATACTTATATAGTTGTGCTGTCAAACGATTAATCGCGATTAATCGCATCCAAAATAAAAGTTTTTGTTTACATAATATACTGTATGTGTGTAAACTGTGTACATTAATTATGTATATATAAATACACACACATGCATGTATATATTTAAGAAAAATATGTTATGTTTATATATTAATTATATTTATATATAATATAAAATATAAGAATATAGATATATAAATGTATACATGTAACTATTTTCAAAATATATACTGTATGTGTTTGTAATTATATACACATAATAAATATACACAGTACACACTCATATATTATGTAAACAAAAACTTTTATTTTGGATGCGATTAATCGCGATTAATCATTTGACAGCACTATTATTTAGTGGGGTTTTTTTGTAAACATGAAATGTTGTTTATGTATTTTCTTTCTTTTAATTGTACATATTTTATATGTTTAAACTAAATGTTCTTGTAGACCTTCTGTCAGTTAAAGTAACATTGTTGCATAGTTACATTCATTTAGCATAAGCATACAATTTTAAGGAATAGTTCACCCAAAAATGAAAACTTTCATCATTTACTCACCTTCATGTCGTTCCAAACCTGTAAGACTTTCAGAACACACACTAGGATATTTTTATGAAATATGAGAGATTTCTGTCCCTCTATTGACAATCCATGCAACTACCACTTTGAGGCTTCAAAAAGTTAATAAAGAGATCATAAAACGAATCCAAATGAATTGAGCAGTTTACAATTGTTTTGAAGAGACCCGATCGCTTTATATAATGAACAGATTTAATTTAGGCTTTTATTCACATATTACATTAATTAAAGCTAGGGCGATTTTTGCCGATTTTATCAGTTGATTCGAATTTAATGTTTTGCCACGATTTTATTTTTTAGAAATTAAGGAATCGCGGTTTTGAATAAGAATAATACCAAGTGTTAGAAATCGACACTTTGACAATATGCCAATGATAACAGTAAAGAGAAAATAACGATCCAAGCGCATGTCGGCGCACATGATTAACCGCTCACGAGTGACGCGCTCATATCGCTAGGCGACATACGCGCTTTTGTGTTGATAAAGATGCGACGCGGGCAGTGGAATAGGAAAAACATGCAAGAAGATGGGAGTTTAACTTATTTTAACTTGAGCGCCGTGTTTTTAGAAAGCCGTTTAATGCATGAGATGCTAGTGCAACAGTTAAACACGTCCATGTTTACATAGAAAAAAATGGAAAAGCGGTGCAAGCGAATAAAAAACCTGTAACTACTACAGTATGTCTGATATTTCATGTTTGCATCATGGTGACTGGCTGAAAGCTGCTGTTTTTGCAGAACATTTATAGTTAATAGTATACTGGTGTTATATCTTCAGTAATTTTGAATTTGAATTACCTTGACTTTTGAGATTTTTTAAAGCATTTTTTTCGTATTATTTCTGAACATATAATATGTATAAGACAAGTTTGTACCAGATGTAGTTGTAGCTCGTGCATCTTTTCTGCAAAGATACTTAACAAGTGATTTGTTTAATATTTACGTCACGTTGACAACTTCATGTGTGCTGCACTTGGAATAGAATGTTCTTTAACTAGCGGGTTAATAAAGAACAAGTTACTTGAATCATGTTGTAGTTACATTTTCAAGTCGTAAAAAATCGAGAATCGGTCAAACGTTCTGAAAAAAAATCGAGATTTACATTTTTTTGTCATATCACCCAGCCCTAATTAAAGCACACATCATTTACGAGGTTCATTCTCTTGTTACACAGTATGTTTGAGCTTCTGTAAGAACCAATCAGGTTTGTTCTTGTGCATCGAGCAAGTATGATTGAGCTTCTGTTTATGTCCGCTGATCAGTGTTTATATGTGAATAAAAGCCTAAATTCAATCTGTTCATCATATAAAGCGATCGAGTCTCTTTAGTAAATTTGGACTAAACTGTTTGATTCATATGGATTAGTTTTACAATGTCTTTTTAAGCATTGAAGTGGTAGTTGCGTAGAGTATCAATGGAGATTTCATTAAAATGATCTTCATTTGTGATCTGAAGATGAACAAAAGTCTTACGGGTTTGGAACACCATGAGGGTGAGTAAATGATGACAGAATGATGACATTTTTGGGTGAACTATCCCTTCAATGCATGTAGTGATGTGCCGCGCATGTTTAGACTGACAGATTGTGTGTGTGTTGCTCTCAGACTCGTCCCCCAGCAGCAGCAGCACTCCAGTGTCTGGCTGCAGCTCCCCAAACGACAGTCTGCCCAACGAGAACGGAGTGCTGCCCGCCACCGCCAGCCTGTCCCATGAGGTAACAGTCCTCACACTCCCAAAATACACTCCTCAGCCCGGTGTCTAAGGTGTATCTTGGCTTAATCCTTATAATGGGAAGTTCTAAATAAATCCTAACAATTATGGAAAATGGCTCATTATGTAATGATGTAGTCAGTCGGTACAGTTAAAATGTATTTAGCTTCTTCCTTTTAAAAAAAATATACAACACTTTTTATGTTGTGGAGAGGACAAACTCCCAGACAAACACACACACACACACAGAGAGGCATGATGGGACGGTTCTTTAATATTCCTCTGGTGGGAGTTGTTTGTTTGGGGCGTTTGTTGAGAAAGCGGAGCTCGACTGGGCTTGTTTCAGGAGGTTCCTGCTTCGCGCCGCCCTTTGGCATAATGACATGTTTTAAACAAAGACACTGGAGAAGGACAGCTGCAGGCAGCTGCCAGGACACCCAATCTCCCGTTTCCATCCCAAGCCTCCTCATCGCTTTATTACTCCATTTTTGGGCTTGCATAAATGCACAGCTCTCTGATGGGTCGCACACAGGAGCCTCGTCTGCTCGCACGCAAGAGTAGATCACTGAGAATTTTTAAACTTTTTTATTAATGGTCAGTATTTTCCCCATGGAAATTAATGTCTGGGGCAATTTCTGTTTTCCTTTCAAAATCCGTAGTCAACAAAATAGTATTATTTCTTCAACTGAATCAATTGAATTAAATTATCGGTAGGAACCAGTTCTCACTATTAACTAGTTGCTTATTAGCATGCATATCACTGACATATTGGCTGTTTATAAGTACTTATAAAGCACATATTAATGTCTTATTCTGACCATATTTTAGATCTCTTAATCCTACCTCATACCTAAACTTAACAACTACCTTACTAACTATTAATGAGCAGCAAATTAGGAGTTTATTGAGGCAAAGGTCATAGTTAATAGTGAGAATTAGTCCCCAAACTAAAGTGTGACCAAATTTTATGGCTGATTATTATAAAACAAATCAACATCAAATATAAAGGTATCTGTAAATTATATGCATGAATAATGCTTTGCTGAAATATATATTCAAAAATATAGTCTGAAATATAGTGTGTGTGCCTGGTGTGTGTATATTATTCAAAAATATAGTCTGAAATATAGTGTGTGTGCCTGGTGTGTGTTGTGTGTGGGGGGTGTGTGTGTGTGTGTGTGTGTGTGTGTGTGTTTCAGGCTCAGAGGCTGCTGTTGCAGGACGGCTCTTTAACTCACTTCACAGTGCAGAATCCCTCCGGTCTCCCCACCATCACGCTCGGCCTCCCCGCCAACACCAAGGTATCGCAATCAGCATGACAGCCTTGGTTTTTCTTACAGTCAGTGATCAGTAATCCCTTACTAGCATTGCACAACTTTAACAAACTACAGTTAAAATGATAATTAAGTACTTTACATGTGCTTTAGTTTGTTAGTCAACTCATCAAAATAAGTGTACTACTTTAAAATATGACAAAGGATTATAAAATATAATGATTGAAAATATACTTTAAAGTCAAATGTTTAATTTGACATTGCAAAGTGGTTCAAAAATAAAAAAAATTAGGTTAGATAAGAAAAGTTATAAACTTAAGTGGCCTTTTATTTCATTAATATTATATTATCTGCACTACCGTTTTTAAATATTCTTTTAAGGTTTGAAGTGCACTACAAGAGCACAATCAAGCACACTTGTTTTTCACAAGAGATGTTCCTTTTTGAATTTAAACGATAATACCCGAGTTTTATTTTTGATTCGTTTTTGAATTATTTTTCTGTTTATGAAAATAATGGTAATATGTAATAATGGCAAAATAATTCTGTTCCTAGATGATAATTGATAATAATATAATCCTTAGTTAAAAAGTAATATATTTAAAATACAATTATTTCATACAAAGTATAGTTCAGTTCAAACCTATTAATATATTTGCTGACATATCGCTCGAGACTTTGATTGATATAAAAATTATAAGTAAACTTTATTTGGAGTATCACTTGTGCACAAAGCACATTTCTTAATATTAAACCTAAAATGTGTTGCTGTTGATGAGGATTGTATAATCTTTGAATAATATCAGTCTTTAAATGCAAGATACAGTGGGGAAAAAAAGTATTTAGTCAGCCACCAATTGTGCAAGTTCTCCCACTTAAAAAGATGAGAGAGGCCTGTAATTTTCATCATAGGTATACCTCAACTATGAGAGACAAAATGAGAAAAAAAATCCAGAAAATCACATTGTAGGATTTTTAAAGAATTTATTTGCAAATTATGGTGGAAAACAAGTATTTGGTCAATAACAAAATTTCATCTCAATACTTTGTTATAATATACCCTTTGTTGGCAATGACAGACGTCAAACGTTTTCTGTAAGTCTTCACAAGGTTGTCACACACTGTTGCTGGTATTTTGGCCCATTCCTCAAGAGCAGTAATGTTTTGGGGCTGTCGCTGGGCAACACAGATTTTCAACTCCCTCCAAAGATTTTCTATGGGGTTGAGATCTGGAGACTGGCTAGGCCACTCCAGGACCTTGAAATGCTTCTTACGAAGCCACTCCTTCGTTGCCCAGGCGGTGTGTTTGGGATCATTGTCATGCTGAAAGACCCAGCCACATTTCATCTTCAATGCCCTTGCTGATGGAAGGAGGTTTTCACTCAAAATCTCACGATACATGGCCCCATTCATTCTTTCGTTTACACGGATCAGTCGTCCTGGTCCCTTTGCAGAAAAACAGCCCCAAAGCATGATGTTTCCACCCCCATGCTTCACAGTAGGTATGGTGTTCTTTGGATGCAACTCAGCATTCTTTCTCCTCCAAACACGACAAGTTGAGTTTTTACCAAAAAGTTATATTTTGGTTTCATCTGACCATATGACATTCTCCCAATCCTCTTCTGGATCATCCAAATGCTCTCTAGCAAACTTCAGACGGGCCTGGACATGTACTGGCTTAAGCAGGGGGACACATCTGGCACTGCAGGATTTGAGTCCCTGGCAGCGCAGTGTGTTACTGATGGTAGCCTTTGTTACTTTGGTCCCAGCTCTCTGCAGGTCATTCACTAGGTCCCCCCGTGTGGTTCTGGGATTTTTGCTCACAGTTCTTGTGATAATTTTGACCCCACGGGGTGAGATCTTGCATGGAGCCCCAGATCGAGGGAGATTATCAGTGATCTTGTATGTCTTCCATTTTCTAATAATTGCTCCCACAGTTGATTTCTTCACACCAAGCTGCTAACCTATTGCAGATTCAGTCTTCCCAGCCTGGTGCAGGTCTACAATTTTGTTTCTGGTGTCCTTTGACAGCTCTTTGGTCTTGGCCATGGTGGAGTTTGGAGTGTGACTGTTTGAGGTTGTGGACAGATGTCTTTTATACTGATAACAAGTTCAAACAGATGCCATTAATACAGGTAACCAGTGGAGGACAGAGGAGCCTCTTAAAGAAGAAGTTACAGGTCTGTGAGAGCCAGAAATCTTGCTTGTTTGTAGGTGACCAAATACTTATTTTACAGAGGAATTTACCAATTAATTCTTTAAAAATCCTACAATGTGATTTTCTGGAATTTATTTTCTCATTTTGTCTCTCATAGTTAAGGTATACCTATGATGAAAATTACAGGCCTCTCTCATCTTTTTAAGTGGGAGAACTTGCACAATTGGTAGCTGACTAAATACTTTTTTGCCCCACTGCATGACACAAATCCTGCGATGGAGCATTCTCTCACACTAGGCTACTTTTGCTTGCTACTGGAAAAGTTAAAGGGGTCATATGACGTTGCTAAAAAGAACATTATTTGGTGTATTTGGTGTAATGAAATGTGTTTATGCGGTTTAAGGTT